TCTCGCGTGGATTTGGACCCCAGAGCTTTGCAGAATGATGTTGTTTGGGTGCCCATTGCACTAAGTGGCTTTTGCTTCTATGACTGTGACCATCACCTTTTGAATGTTCCTTCCTGTTCAGAGGCCTGTCCCCAACACGTCCACCACCCCCTGCAAGCTTGGGCTCATCAGACAAACTTGTCCTACATAAGGTCACACTGGAGTGGGGACATTGCCTCCAGGTGGAACCATTGGTTTCTCCTTGCTAGGATTTAGAACGTGGCTTGTAGCACGGTTAGGACTCACAGTGGGCCATCGGGGAGGACAGGTAGACCACCTGGGAAGACAGATGGACTTGGGTGGGCAGGACAGCCCTCCGCCAAGCTGGATGCAGACAGGCCTGACTGCAGAGGAGTAAAGTGCAGCAGGGAGTTCTTGGCCCAGAGAGACGGTCTGACACAGAACGGTGGCACCCGGTGGGTTTCCTGTTCCGGGCCCTGGCCCTCCTGAGAACGCTCCTGTATCCCCATCACAAATCCTCTCTTTTCAGAGGTTCCAGCCAGCCTGAGTGGGGTTAGAGTCTCGCCAGCGGAAGGGTGCTAAGTCCATGGCCTATCCTCGATGATCTCTCTGGTAAGCAGGTCTTTCGTCCATCAGGTTGGTTAGAGTCCACGCCAGGTCACAGCATGGGCACCCAAGGCCCGAAAGAAGAGGAGTTGGGCTTCTCAGCTGCAGGTTCCTTGACAAGAGCTGAGCAGCTTCTTGTCTGTGCCCGGCGGGGTGACACCTGAAGTAGTCAGAGGGGCCCAGTGCTCACTGGAGGGCAGAAACTCTCCCCGTGCTCGGGCCCCATCCTCACCCCTTCCTCCCCAACTCAGGACTGTGGGGTTTGGGGAACATTGAACTCCCGACCATACCTGAGCTGCGGGGAAACATGGTCCCAGGAGGTGTTCCCAAGGGAACCAGGAGCAGCTCCTTTGAGCTCAACCTAGGAATTCCCCGTGGTGGTCCCAGGATCCACAAGAGGGAGGGCAGGGCAGGCGTGCCCAGGAAGCTGCGAGGAAGAGCAAGGGGCAGAACGGGTCCTAGTGTTAGAGGATCCATTGCAGCGGGAGGTGAGGGGCAGCAGGGGCTGGGGTTCGGATGGCAGTGACTTGGCGAGCATCCCGAAGTAACTAAGGGAGCACTCTGAATGCTCCGGCACAAGCTGTGACAAGAGGCTGTGCCGCGGCTGTGCTAATTACCCGAATGATCATGCATTGTACTCACGTGCCATCAGCTCACATTGCGCCCCTATAAACATGTGCAATCGTTTTGTGTTAATACAAAATTGAAAACCAAAGAGCCAAAAAACAAGGGGCAGGACAAGACCACCCCCTTCAACTCCCTTCTCTACTTAGAAGCTCTGCTGCCGGTTAACCCCCAGCCTGCCAGGGAGCTGGCCCCCGTGAGGGCCCTCGCTCTGCCCCCTCCCCGGAGCAGCTTTACGGCTCCTCTGCCGTAGCCCGTATTAAACGGACTATGCCTTCAAGGACAATGCACCCAGGTTGGGGCTGGGTGGGAGGACGCAGGGGCTGACCACCCAGTCCGGCGACAGATGGTTCCATCAGAAGTCTGCCCAGAAGGAGGCCCGTGGCGTTGACCCCTGACTTGGCCACTGACTCGGCAAAGTCCCTTGATCCTTGCCTCAGCTCCCCACCTGTCACACAGGCAGACCGACACCCCACCTGTCACACAGGCAGACCGACAATCTTCCTCAGCTCTCCCGCCCCCAGGCTGAGGTAGAGCCTCGTAAGTGTGTGTTTGTTCTGGTGGAAATCTTCCCTTCAAAGTATTTCCATCACGGCAACCTAGGAAAACAATAGCAATAGCCTCTGATTAGCTTAATTACAATAATTGAGGAGAGAGAGAGTGGGATTGGAGAGTCTGGGCTGGGCCACTTATTTCTCCAAGTCGCCGAGGGTTTGTAGTCCTCCCCGGGAAGCTGAGACCTTGCCCCCGGCGGCCAAGACACCCAAGTCAGAAAATACAAAAAGCCGAGCTGGCAGTTACTAATTGCGGCGTAGGTAGATTGTATCGAGCCGGGAAGGGCTATTTCCATCCTGCTGGTGATGGGGCTAAAGTTAGAACGTGAAGGCTAGGGGAGTAATTCTTCCTAACAGCTCGAATTGGAGCAGGAGGGAGAGAGGGGAGCAAGCAGGCTGCGGAGAGGCCAGCCCTTGCTGACGGCAGGGTCGGGGTGGGGGCGCAGGTATACCCAGCATAGATGCCAGGCTCAGGCGAACCAGGTGGGAAGGCTGTGGGCAGGGGTGAGGTGGGCACAGTTGCTGGCCAAGTCTCAGGGGCCTCCTCCCACACACCAGAGTTGGTCTCCAGGGGGACGTGTTGGCTTGGGCTCTTCCTGGGGCCCATGGCCTCCTCCCTCTGGACCTGGACACCTCTGCACCCCCAGCCCATCCCTCACTGCAGCCCCGATCCTCATCTCTGACTCGCCCTTTGATGAGGCTCCGTGTGCTGCCTGCACCCATTATTAAATGGACTATGGCTTCTTCGGCAATGCATTCTTGTCCCCTCGCTCTGAGGAAACGGCAAGGACAGCCACGGTGAGGGTGAGACCCCCTGCTGCAGGCCTGGCCCTGACTCACATTGAAGCCCCGCTTCACCACTAACCCCCCCATGTGCCTCTCACCCACCCCACAAACTAGTACTGAGCTGCTGCTCTGGGAGCCACAGACCCAGGCCCTCCCTCCAGAGCTGCCGATCAGGGTGCAGGACATTGCCGTGGAAACTCACAAACTTCTGTTACATCAAATGCAAGGAACCCAGATGCACAGAAGTGAATTATGAATTGCCCATGAGGGGGCTGGATGGTGGCACAGCAGTGCAACGTGGCACTGTGTGAGGCCGACCCACGTGGGAAGGTTCTGGATTTGAGTCTGGGCACCTGTCTCCCTGACTACACCAGACATGAACGTGCCTGAGATCTGGGCTTGGCTGAGGTGGGGGATGGATCGTGGTATCGAGACCTTGATGGGGGTGCTGTTTCTCTGCTTCTCTGTCTTTCTCTTTCAAGAGATAAATAAACTTATAAAAAAATTGCTCATGGATCAGCTCTGTAGCTTACTGGTTAAGGGAGCTGAATCCCACGTGGCTGACCAGGGTTCAAGTTTGAGCCCTGGTAGCTTGAAAAACATGCCAGGTAGGGACTAGCAGATGGTGTAGCGTTTATGTCGCTGGACTTCTGCATGTCTGACTGCAGTTCAAATCCCGGACCCAGTGGCTTGAAACACGCTGGGCATGTGTGCACGCGTGCCTAAGATCCCAGGGGGAGAGCAGAGGAGAAGGGATTGTGGCATGGTCATCCCCCCGGGGGTGATTTCTCACTTTCCCTCTCACTATCTCTGTCTCTCTCTCTCCAGCGAGCGCACACACTCTAGACAAAAACCTCTACCAAAACAAGCAAACCAACCAACCTGGTAAGCATGTGCATGCCCCAAATCCTGATAGGATGGGGAATGGAGAAGGGATTGTGGCATGACCATCCCCTTGGGGCACTTTCTCCCTCTGTCTCTGGCTAGCACACACTCCCTCTGGCAATTTAAAAGCAATTGCTCATGATGGTGTCTGAGGACGGACCCTGTCACATGTGTTCATTTCAGGTATTGTGCAGTCATTTGCTGTTTGTGCTTATTAATTAGTAGGAAAGTGTCTTTCAGGTCGTAAGAGACATTTCCGGCCCAGCCACATTGGTGCAGGCTGCTAAATGTATGCTCCACATCTGAGATCTGGTTTGATTCCCCGTCCAACCTGAAGGCCGGGCACATGGCGAGTGCCTGTCATCTTAGTAACTTGAGGAGGCCAAAGCGAGAGGATCGGATCGTGAGCTGCAGGTTGGGAGCATAAGGGACCCCGTCTGAGAAAGAGCTGAGGGCCTGCCCGGTAGCAAGATGCCACGTGGCTGATCGCAGCTCTGATCCTGGCCCTGGTGGCTTAAAAAACATGCCAGCACATGTGCATGCAGGCCTCAAATCCTGATAGGAAGTAGAATGAGAGGAAAAGGATTCTGGTGTCACCACACCCTATTGGGGCAGATCTCTCCCTCTCTCTGGTGAGCACACACTCCCTGTAGCAATTGGAAAGAAAAAAAAAAGGAAGAAGAAGAGCCAGGCATTTGGATGCACACCGGAAGTCCCAGGTGGGAGGTCCCACGACCTGGTGGGACTCTGTCTTAAAAAGGTTTTAAAAAGCAAAAGTGAGCACATACAACTTTCTTTGCTGCCTGGCAGTGCATCGGGTGAGACGCTTGCTTCACCAGCTCCTCCGGGTGGCCAGTTGGTGTCTCTGGCGTCATGACGTTGCCAGGAACATCCGTCCAGCCAGCCAGGTGTTCCTCCAGGACCTGCTCGTCTACAGCTGCCTTTCTGGGCACCGGGCACAGCTGCGTACAAAGCAGGGATCTGTGTAGACACATCTCTGTATCTCCCTGCTTAGTTTTCAGTTGATGACTGGATGGGGGCATGGCTGGGCCAAAGGGCGCACCTCTGCCCGGACCTGCCTTCGCAAAAGGGCTGTATCTGTCCTCATAGACCTCTGCTGCAGACTGACCTGACCCAGGAGGTCAGAGCAGGTGGCAGAGGGGACAGGGAGAGCCTGCCTGGTACCCGGCCTGGCCATCCAACCCTAACCACCCCTCGGGCCAGGCCTTCAGTAGGTGGCTATGTTTTCTCAGCCCCAGATTGGCTATGAGGCTGGGTATGGAATTCAGTGTTTGAAATTGGGTCACCCTCAATGATCCAGAGCCACTGAGGTGCCTCCTGGACCCAGTTTGGAGGCCGCCCTTGTTGGGAGGATCAATGGAGGGGAGAGGGAGCTAAGGCTTCCATCCCAGGCCACAAGGGCGTACAGGCCAGGTCCAGCCCCAGCCCCCTCCCCCAGGCCTCCGCCCTTGCCCTTCTAAGCTCTGGCGGGCGGGCGCCCAGCTAGCTAGGAGCCCGAACCTGTCGGGCCGGTTTTGAGAGCCGCGGGGAATAAGGCAGGAAGGCTCAGGAAGGATGCACGGCCAGCCCCGTGCTCCCCTGCACCCTCCGCCGTCTGCGTTCGTCCTGCCAGCCCCGCTGCCCATCCGCTGAATCTCATGGGGCGTCCGCGGGGACTCCTGGCGCCCCTGCTGGGCCTGGGTCTGAGCCTGGGCCTGGGGCTGGCCCTGAACCTGCCGAGCGCTGTGGCAGCCGCGGACTGCGGGGCCCCCCGGCCGCGGGG